TTTACATGGGCCTCGAAGTACCTGACTTAACAAGAGCACAAGTCAGCATCTTTATCTCATAGCTATCAGCAATGTTTGGTAAACTTTTAACTTTGTATATATGACCAATAGCAGCTGAAGCAGTTCGTTATACTTAGTTAGGCCTTTGTGACTGACTTGCTATCAAAAAAAAAACCAATAGGACATGGTCTTGACAGGTAGAAATCATACAATTTATCAATATGTGGTATGATCGAAGCGTACTTGGAGCAATACAAAACTGAAATCTATCAGAAACCTCTAATGACCAGCCTTTAAGTTCAAGTTTGTGCCTCCTTATATCCTCCAAGCATACAGGGCCCATTTTCTGTTGCGGCAGGGTTCCGCTACTCCCATTGCCCGACACACTCTTGGATTGTTTTGTAACCTCAAACCTTGGGGAAATGGACATTTTGACTAGACGGTGGAACCAAGTCTGACCTAACCACTTTTTTAACAAAGTTGTTTTCTAAGTGCCAGTTGACCTGAGAAAGAGCGTCCACTGCTTCAGACAACTGTTCCCGGTTCTGACAATTTGCAAAGCGGTCGATGGCATGAGGACTCCAAAGTTTGTCTGAACAAATGCCGGTTTAACATCCATTTGTATTTGTCGGATGTCTTTGGCCAGTAATCCGACTCCCGATTGTTGACCCCTGATATATGTGGCCACTTGACTGTGAGTCAAATATCTTTTGCTTCTGCCCATATTGCTATTGCTTTCTTGGTAAGGGATGGACTTGGACACTGATATGGTTTATATAAGCCACAGCTGATATATTGTCTGTTGAAATCCGAATACTCTTTACCCGAATAAGACTGGAAAAAGCATTTAAAGCTGTAAGTGTAGCAAACATTTCTCTCTTGTTCGAAGACAAGTACGACATTCTTTTGCCCAGTCGCCCGAAGCAACGTGACCTTTGTAAATAGCTCCCCAACACAGGTGGCCTTCGTCCGTAACAATCTGACCCTAAATGATTTTGAATCGTTCTAATATACATTTAATGTTAAAGGGAAAAAACTCTTATATCGACTCCGTACATTGCAAGTTTGTGTCGTCCTCCCTTAGCTATCTTCGATTAGGAAATTGCCTATTGGCAAAACTCTGGAAGAGGTCACGATCCTGCCTATATTAACGAACCTCGTCCTCGGCAACGACCATAAGTATACGACTGTCCACGACGTCCTCGCTCGTCGCCAGATCCAAATGAACGTCCAGCTGCAGCTTACGTTGCTGCTGATCGCAGAGTTTCCAATGGAGTTTGGTCAAAACCCGAATTATTTCTCTGAAGACTGCGGAATATTTTGGCGTGTCAAATTGACCATTTACACGTAAGGCAGCAAAATCAAACTCCTCTTGAAGATATTTAATCTGTGGATGATGAATAAGAAATAAGCTATCCAAAGTGTCTTGATCTAACGAGCTGCCAGCTTCCAAAGTTCCCAATAGTTAGGTCATCTTTCATTGTACCCATTTATGAAGGAAATACAATGTATACATAAATTAAAGAAATTGATACATAAACACATTGAAATAAAGTATTACTTCCTTCAAAAAGCAATCCTCCTAAATAGCTGAAGAACCTTCATATATATACAGTTGTTGTTTCAAAAGCACCACCATCAACTTGTTATCTTGTAAGTAAAATGCTACGACGCCAGGGGTATAACATAATATAAGCAAACTTTAGGGCATAAAATTAATATTCTCAATATAAGTGATGAAGTTTAACAGTTGTAACACTGTTAACAATATTTAGAGCATTTGATATTGTGGCCCCAATATAGAAATGGATCATTTATTCAATATTGGCTATCATCCTATGAAGTTCGAACACTGTAAGCCAAATGGAATTTGTGTTATGCTCCAGAAACCAAAATTTTCAGTGTAAAGGTAATTTGGACCCTGACCTTCGACCTTATGACCTAAACTCAATAGGGGTCATGTATTAGACATGGCTGTTCATCCTATAGAATTTTTCAGCTGAAAGTTGATTAATAGTTAAGTTATTAAGCAAAAAAAAAACAAAAAAAAAAACAACAACATTTTCAGTTTTAAGGTAATAGTGGCCTTGACCTTTGACATTGTGACCCAAAAATAAACGGGGTCTTCTACTCAATATTGACAGTCATTCTATGAAGTTTGAACACTGTGGGCTAAAAGGAACTGAAGTTATGCTCCAGAAACAATAATTCTCAATGTAAAGATCATTGTGACCCTGACCTTTGACCTTATGACCCTAAAATCAATAGGGGTCATGTTTTGGACATGGCTGTTCATCCTTTAAAAGTTACAGCTGTAGGCTGATTTATACTTAAGTACTTGAACGTTAGCTGTTTTCAGTTTTAAGGCAAAAGTGACCCTGACATTTGACCTTGTGACCCAAAAATAAATAGAGGTCTTCTACTCAATATGGACAATCATCATATGAAGTTTTAATATCGTGGGCAAGTGGCTTAAGTTAAGCTCCGGAAACCAAATTGCTAATGAACGGACGGATGGAAAGATAGAGGACGGACGCCAGGGGGTATGACATAATATGTCCGAAAACGATTGAACATGGAAGAGGTTTCACCTAAAGAATATTTGATAAAGGTACCGGTGAGCTGTAAGTCATAGACATATTTTAAAGAATGCTTTCAAGAACTGAGCTATATTTTCGACCAACATGTTTCATAGCTATGTCACGAGTCGGGCGGTATGGTGTGACCACTTCTTTTTAATTTATAAGTTATTTTGGTTATAAAAAATCCCTTGCCAACAATGTAGATTTTGATGCACAGACCGATTCCGTTTTATGTCCATAAGGTTATTTTGTTCATACGTAGGTAATCATTGTGGAAAATATAAATGTATGCATGCATAAGTTTTTGTATTCCTGGGACCGATAATTACTGAACTCTTCGCTATCCAAAATTTTCCCTTGTTATTTTTGCGAAGTGTTCTTAAATACCATTATTCTTTTCTTTATTGTCATAAAGCATCATCACCTTATTAATTAATTAGAGAGATCTAAAGTGAAGGAAAGAATTTAAAAATAATTGCGGAATCGGAAAGTTTCGGATATCGAATATTGGCGAGGTGTTTCGGAAAGTTGCTTCGTAGATTTTAGACTTTTATGTTATTGCCACCGCCAAAACGACATATTTATCATCCTTGTTATTTGCTATATTATTTTGTACCGTATTTTGGGAAATATTCATCAGGGTATGAATTGTAACGATTATTACTTGAAACATTATATGAATTAATTACCATTTGTGATTAACATGGAAATAAAAAAAATGTATATAGTTTTCTATTCTATTACAGGGAGCTCTATTTTCTATTTTATATCAGGGGCTCTATCTTCTATCCTATAATGGGATAAACTGTCTTATATTCTATTACGGGAGCTCTATCTGCTTTTCTATATCGGGAGCTCTATCTTCTTTTTTATAATTGGAAGCTCTATCTTCTTTTTTTAAATAGGGAGCGCTTTTTTATTCTATAATCAGGATCACTATCTTGTATTCTATAATCGGAAGCTCTATCTTTTATTCTATAATTGGGAGCTATTTCTTCAACTTTAAAATGGGAGTTTTATATTCTATTCTAAAAATGGAAGCCCTATCCTTTATTCTCTAATCGGGAGCTCTACGGTCTATTTTACAATGGGGAACTCTATCGTCTTTTCTGTAATGGGAAGTTCAATTCTCTTTTGTAAAATCGGGAACTCTATCCTCTTATTTATAATCGGGAGCTCTATGATTTATTTTACAATCTAGAGCTCTATCTCCTTTTCTATAATGGAGAGCTCTATATTCTATTCTATAATAAGGAGTTCTGTATTCTATCTTTTAAATTGGAGCTCTATCTTCTATTCTATAATGTGGAGCTCTGCCTTCTATTCTGTAATTGAGAGCTTTGTCTTTATATATAAAAATGGGGGAGTTCTATCTTCTATTATTTGATGGGGAGCTTTATTCTAAAATGGGAAACTTTGTCATCTATTTTTAAAATGGGGTGCTATGTCTTCTTTTCTATAACGAGATCTATATCTTCTATTCTATAGCGGGGGAGCTCTATCTTCTTTTCTATCACTGCAGAACTCTATATCTTTTATCAAATAATCGGGAGCTGAGCCTTTTCTTCTATTCTATAAAAGAGAGCTATATCTATCTAAATACAGCATTTCATAATAATTAATCATTGGGAGCTTTGTTGCAGCTATAGTAATACATAATTATGTAAACACAGTTCCCGTGTAATATTTCAATTATTGTAGAAGGCAAATGAACGATATTGTAACATCCATCTGTGCATGCCTATTAATGTGTGTTGTGACGTCATCACTTGTATATCAAAGCTCAAAAATATGACATGGTCCTTTGTTGCCTAAAGCTTGGCCGCAAATGTAAATATCCAAGTAAGCTAGACGACTTCATATTCGGCAACGAAAAGGACTGACCATTAACACTGCGATATCAAACCTAGTCATGTTGAAGAAGATATCAACAAAACATATACAACTTCATTTTTATCTTACTTAACGTTTGAAACGTTTGAAAGATTTTTTTTTCAAAAGGACATGTCTGTTTTAAAAAACATTTTTATGTTAACTATATATGAGTTATATTAATATCATATATATGGCTCTTGTATTTCAGGGAGAGAAATATATCATCTATAAACCGTTTAGAAATAAAAGTAAAGAAGAAAACCGTATTTCTTTAAAAGAATCATTATCATATGAAATATTTTGTTTAGATGCTTAAATGTTTTTCATGCACTATCACATGAGAATGGTCGAACATTTATGTAATTGTGCCAAAATTGCTGAACAATATCCTAAACGCATGCTTGTTAAACTTATATACATATAAGATTTAACAAAAATAAACTGACGGAGCAGTGCCAACATAAATTATCTCGTTATAAAGTTTAAGAAGATAACACCCCATTTAAAGATTACAAAAAATGATTACACACATTGAATGCTTACTATTTTTACTAATATTTAACATACAGATTGTTAACAAAGTTTGTAGACATCATTCAATATGACACTATATATGACGAGACCAAAACCTGTGAAAAGATCAATAATACAAAAATGATATGTCGAAATTTGGAGTTTTACATACATGCTCTACTTGAAGTATTTTGATGTCATTATTTATCAATAAATCTTACATATTTTTATAATAAACGAAAACACTAATTTTGGAAAGTTTCTGAAAGTCTGTATTTAGTGTTATTTAAAGTCGGAACATTAACTGACATGAAGTTATCTTTTTTAGATGTCATACACAATCAATTAGTGTGAACTATCTGATGTCATTTGGATGTTGTTCTCCGAAGTTAATTGCTTGCGCATGTCCGTCCCTGAGGATGAACGCGTGTTTTTTGACGTACATTTCCTGTTGACAATCGAGGACATGTGGTCGGAGGTTTCTTTTTTTCGTTTGGCTGGCGAACTTTATTTACAATCATATACACTGCTACACCTACAGCCATTGTACCTGCAACCCCGCCTGCCCCAAACCCGGCCGCTTTAAACAGTTTCTCCTTCTGTGCAACTGGTCGTTTTTTAATAACCTGTACCTTCTTGTTGTTGACAATACAGAAACAGCTTGCGTATCCCTTGGTTACCATTTCACGCTGTAAAACATGATAATTTTATATAGTTGCTCTCAAAATAATAGTAATGGAAAGTAAATGAAAAGAAATAAAGAAATAATGTTTAGCGATCGACGGGCATAACATTAAAAGATCAATTCAATAACCCGTTGTTAACTTAAGTTTAATTGACTTAATTCTGAAGCTGTTTGAAATGTGCCCATTAATGTTACGGTATCAAGTCTATTCAAAGCTCAATTCCGAAGGGATACAATGAATAAACCTTCTTATTTCGGGCGCAATGTTCGTGCTTCAACTTTCACAACTGCTGTTCACTGACGTTAGCAATCGCAAACAAAAACTATAAAATCATGTGAATGTTGCCAGAAAAAATATAAAAAAGGGAACTGCTTCACTTTATTTTCCACATTGCTTTGCCTGTGTTTATTTTACTTCTAGTTCCCTCGCTAATGAGAGAACACACAAAATGTGTAGAAAGGTCAAGTGGACACAGTAAATTTATTGATCAATCTTAGATCACTTGTTTAGGCCTACTTGAAGTGTAGACTGGAAGTGTTACATGTTTACTAAATTATTTTGACGGGGAGATCAAGCAAGGGGAGAAACACACTGAGTGATGTCTTCACAATTTTAAACATCTAAAAATTTGAAAATATTTAATGACTACACACTGTGGTAAAACAAAAGCTACTTTCTTCGCCGGAAAGAAGACCCTCGCATATTATACATCAAGAAAGACACTTAGACCCCTTGACTTCTCTACCCCTTAGGATATTAATATGACATCTAGACCCCGTGGCTCGCACAAGACGGGGTTTGAAACTACGCGAATAGTGGTCCTTAAAATTCTAGTCAGACGCGTTTGAGCTGAAATAGGAAACATCATAGATTCAAAAGGTACAGAGCAGACAAGAATTGGAAAACGGGCGGACGAAAAGGCACGTTACTCACCGAAATTATTTAGGCGTATTAAGTGCTGAACACAAATACTTAACAACACGTTTTTTCCATAAACATATGTTTTAAGGTAAGTTATGAGAAATATACATGTATAAGCAAATGAGTAGAACATGGCACTTTTATGAGGGGAGTGTCTTCACATAGTAAACCCATCTCAATCCACCCGAAACACTTTTAACAAATTACGTCGTTGCATAACGTCTGTGAAATATCCATGGTTGAAGACACTACATATCGACATTTCTTGCTGACAATTTTATTTTAAATAAAGCAATATAAGACGTACTCACCGCTTCCTCACTCGCTGAAATAAATAACAAAACTCATCAATGATAAGGTCAATATGTATAATAACTTTATAAACATGGTTTAGTTACAAAAATATTTCCATTTAATAACCAAGAAATAAAGATGTATATGATATTGTTACACGCATTAACATTTGATATCACGTCATCAAATGCTTAAAACAAGACCTGTTCACGAACAGTACGTTTCACGTTTTTCAATACTGGATTGTTAAATAGAAAGAAAATGGAAAATGGGTTATAATTTTGCAACAAATACTTATCTGCACTTGATAGTCAATAAAAATAAATAAGATACTTTAAGTCCATGATTATCTTAGAAATCCATTTTAAACTATCGAAAGTGAACAAGTGTTATAAGAATAAAGTGCATATATTTGAAAGATTTTGAGATATGCATCAAGAGATAACAAAAAGGTTTACCAATAAATTTCAAAGTAAAAAGGGGATATAACTGAACAAAAATAAACTATAAGAATACAAGAATTATCTAAGAAACAAGAGCGTGTATAGAAATTAACAAAATATCTTATTTTATTTTAAACTATATGTTATACAAACCTTTCTTCGTGTTGCATTTTTCTTTGTTTGTAGATGTCGTATGCCTTTGTGCTATTGGTCTTGTTGATGATGTCAGTGTCGTTTGTTTTTGTGTTGTTGGTTTTGTAGATGAGATACGTGTCGTGTGCATTTGTGCTGTTGGCTTTGTTGTAGAGGTAAATGTATTGGGGCTTTGTGTTGTAAGTGTTGTTGATGAGGTTAGTTTTGTGAGCATTTGCGTTGTTGGTATTGTTGTAGAGGTCAATGTCGTGTGCTTTTGTGTTGTTGGTTTTGTTGTAGAAGTCAATATCGTGTGCTTTTGTGTTGGTGATATTGTTGATGAGGTGTGTGTCGTGTGTTTTGGTGTTATTGGTTTTGGTGTAGAGGTCAATGTTGTGTACTTTTGTGGTGTTGTTTTTGTTGATGAGGTGAGTGCCATGTGCATTTGTGTTAGTGGTTTTGTTGTAGAGGCCAATGTCGTGTGCTTTTGTATTGTTGGTTTTGTTGTAGAAGTCAATATCGTGTGCTTTTGTGTTGGTGATATTGTTGATGAGGTGTGTGTCGTGTGTTTTTGTGTTATTGGTTTTGGTGTAGAGGTCAATGTTGTGTACTTTTGTGGTGTTGTTTGTGTTGATGAGGTGAGTGCCATGTGCATTTGTGTTAGTGGTTTTGTTGTAGAGGTCAATGTCGTGTGCATTTGCATTTGTACTGTTGATTTTGTTATTTTTGTCAATGTCGTTTGCTTTTCCGTTTTTGGTTTTGCTGTTGAGATCAACGTTATTTGTTCTGTTGTTGAAGGTTTAGAAAGTTTTGTTATTTTTCTTTGCATTTGTGTTGTAAGAGATATCTTTTGGGTCGATATTTTTGTCACTTTAATTGTTGTAGGTATTTTCCTTGTTTCTGTCGTCGTTGTTGACATAACTGAAGTAAAGTTAAGTAATAAATGACTAAATGAAACGAAATTAAAAACAAAAAATATATACTAAGCAATGGTCAATGATTGATTCATACATTGATAAAGTATTTGATTTTGTTTCGGTATTTCATGTTATCATGTAAAAGATATATGAAAAGAAAGAAGAAATAGCATTGATATCTATTTATCTATTTAAAGCAAGCAAATATGTGAAATACGTTGTAAATTATTAAAAGCGTTGATCAATTCTAAGAATTTTATTTCTGCACAATGTTCATGACTGTAGAGGGATGTATTATTATCGAACTTTACCTTGTTCATACAGGTTTCTCTATGTTTGCAAGGCTTAGCGTTACATCCGTTTATATCCAAGCAGTTTTGAAATATGCAAGCGTTAAGCAGTTGCAAGGATAGGAGATAAAGAAAAATGCTGAATTCCATAAGTAAAGATTCAAAGAGGGAATAGCATTGAAGTGAATTACTAACTAGGTATAATATTCATAATTAAGTCTATGTAAAACAGAAATAAATTAATGAATAAAATTATAATTAAAATTAAAATTATCGGCTAAAATTGTTTGATTATTTATTTCCGTACTTACTAACTTATTGCTCATTATAAGTATCGCTCTGCGTTGCATTCAAGTGTTTTAGTTAAATCCGCATACACTTGAAACAATGTAATTACAGTAAATGGTGAACAAGATTAATAAAGTATCGAGCACTGGGGATTTAAAGTATATAAACATTATTATGGCTAATTAAGTAAAAACAGCGAATACTTATGTCAATGAAGGTAGGAACAACTTAAAATCGATCCGCAGTCAAAATAAACAAGAGGACTTTTCATTGCTTACCTACCTATATTTATACAGTAATCTATATTTTCTGATTACTTTTGATTGCATTGGTTTTATTGCAGATATTGTAATTGCTTGTCATTAAAAATGTAATTGTGTGATTATATATTATAAATATATGTCAATATCAAATTAATATTTTCACTGCGGCTTTAAAAATTGTCATTACTTCCTGTAAATTGACTTATTTGAAAATTACTGTTTTATACTTTGATAAACGATACATACGATGCCATAAGTATATCAAGTTATGAAAAAATACAAACTTGTATGATATTTGTTTAATTTCCCATCCATTGTATTTTTTCATTTCTTTAATATTAACATTAACAGGAAGCAATACTAAAGTAACCATATGCCATTACACTGTTTACTTGCATACTTTATGAAAAATCATTGTATGGGCGAAAAGTGAAATAACGTAGGAGAAGGCAAAAAATCATATTACTAACCATCACAGTTAGTTCCAATGAAACCAGAGTTACACTGACATTGATAACTATTCACTCTATCTAAACAAGTTGCTTCGTTTTTACAAGGGTTAGATGTGCACTCGTCTACATCTGTAAGAAGGTTGTAATTATTTTTTTTCAATCTTGACAATAGTAATTTCATTTTTCAGAAAAGACCAAATTGATATTATTTCTATATAGATGTAGTTATGATAATGAATTTGGCTGATCCTATTTTTGAATTCTCTACATCTTCTTCGACTTACAATATCAAGTAATTTGACAACAATTGGTGTAAAACGTTTTATGTACCTGTCTCGCAAACTGTCCCAGTGTATCCGGGCTGACATTTACAAACAGCGTCTGTTAGTTGAACTGCTAAACAACTACCACCATTTAAACAATGTAGTTTCTGACATGGCCCAAAACCTAATGTATACGAAAGCACTGAATTAATTCACAAGCTTTGTAAGCAACAGCAACATTCATTAAGCGTTTAACACCCGAAAGATGCACATAGCCAATATTTACAATCATATACTGTTGTGAACTTGAAATGAAGCAATACAAAAGACAAGACATGACATACAAAATAGTCAGAATAGTATACACGATAGAATCCGTCTTTTAAAAGTTTGTCCGCAAAGTATATAAAATTGGCAACTTTGTTAACTGTACTTTTTTGGTGCTCTGACATAAGCTTTTCAAATTTTAAAATACTTGGCCACCGGCAATAGAATCTTTTGAAGTTTTAATGTCTTAGACTTATATATCTGTATTTAGGGCAAATAAAATGATATTCATCTTCTAATTTATGTATGGTACAATTAATACATAATTTATTTACTCTATATTTGTTGTTATATCTTCCAATTTGATATAAAGACTCTGAGTTGAAGTTCTAAACATATTCTTATGATATTGTTACGAAGTTCCCTAGAAACGTTACGGATTTCGTCGGAAAATCTTTTATATACCGATGAATACCGATGAAACACTCGTGAATTGTCATCTTTTAAAAGAATTTGTGGTGCTAAATTAAACTTTGATCACCAAACTTGCCATAATTTTGTATTATGTGTTAAAAAAACTTTTAGTACATTTTGCATCGCCTCTTGTTTAAAATATGGTGGTTTTGAGTAAACATTTCAAATTATTTGCTCATCCGTTCACATTGACCCGTTTATTTTGTGATTTTCTTCGTTGCAACATTTAATTATCTAATTATATTGGAAAGTTGCAAACATAAACTCATACTCTATTTTTCAAATGTCATAGAGTTCTTGTGAAAACTGTAAAGATGTGCTTTGTTTCTTCTGATAACTTCTGTTACAGCCGATGTGTTCCTTGCGCTAAGTAACGACACGTTTTAGCTTATTTCATTATTCAAGAAGTGTGTAAATCATTATGAAACGTCATCCTTAGCACACAAATTAGTTATATTATGTTGCCTTTGAGTGTATATTAGTTACTTTGAGTAGAGAGCGAGATATTGCTAATTTAACAAAAAACAAGCTTATATTAGAGTATCAATCAGCCTTTTGTGCTTAGTTGTTTGGGTAATGTTCGGAAGAATGGTAGCTTAAAGGTAAATAGCAGTAATCTATCTTCTTACTTTAAATTAAACTTCCATGAATTTATCGTACCTTAAAAATATAATCTTAACTTGTATGATAAAGGAAATTGTATGTAATTACTTGATCCTTCGAAAGTTATTAAAAATGTTGCATAAAACTGAAACATACATCAGCCTACAACTGGTAGGAAGGATAAGCATACTACGCTTCATAATAATTTACACAAACTTATTATTGACTGATAAGATACGATTAAACGTGCCGTAACTTAGCACAAAAAACACACTGACAGTAACAAAATTATCAGAAGAACTCTAGTACCGTCAAAGTTTACAGAAGAACTCTGTGACATTTGACAAATGGGGTTTACATCTATCAGCATTGGGTTTATGTTTTGCAACTTTCCATATTTAATAGGCAAATAAGAATAGCAACGAAAAAAAAAACAACACAAATGAAAAGGTCAATATGTACGAATAAGCAAGTTATTTAGAAATGTTACTCAAAAATACGATATTTTAAACAAAAGGCATCGCAAAATGGACTTAAGGGTATTATTTTGACGCATAATACAATATATAAGGCATGCTTAATCATAAAACCTGAATTTTGAACCTCAAGCTCCCCTTTTAAAGATAAAAATTAACCATTTCCGACGAAATCTATTTTCCAGAAATTCCATGACAGTAATCATAAGTACTCTATCCTGCGTGTGACAGTTCCTACACCGTTTAAAAGAATTGATAAAGTCGTTTTATACTCAAATTACTTAAAATATTTATAGCTCACTTGATACATTTTTCACTTCTACTTTCATGTGATTTTGTTGCAAACCGGATCTGAAATGGAAAAACTATTTTGAGATTTCAGTTATTTAATTATAAAAACAACAGTTGAATCACTGTTCAAATTGCAACAATAGAGTCAATCTATGGTATTTAGGATAATGAATGCAACCAATTCTTTACACATAAGTATCAAGGTAAATTATTACTAACGAGATATATGTCAATCTGACACGGATGCCCCCAAAGTCCACTGTTTTGACAGTCGTATGTAAATAATGACTTACAGAAAATGTATATAAAAGATATGTAATTACCCCGCAGAAACACAAAAGTCAAGCGTGTCAGGATTTTCTGTCTTGATAGCTAAATCGGTCATGCACAAATTATCAACTGGAGTAGTTTTGAAGAAATGAACACCTGGCACTCCCTCTCCACACTCTCTGACCTGGGAACTGATTATATATATGCAATTACAGGAATACTTATGCAATTCAAATGTAACTTACAAGATCCATTTTATCAGTCTTTAAGTATCAAAGTGAAATGGTTTGTATTGTTGCTGTTTAATTATTTTTGTAGACTTTACGCTGATTCTATCACATCTTGGGTAATATTTCGGCTTTTGTGGATACCATACTAGTAATTACCAATATCTCCGCAAGTTACCGGCTACTAACATCACATAATTTCTGGATAGTTTTTGAGAGACAAATGGCAATAGGACTCAATGTCCGAGATTTTTTTGGGAGAAATTCGAACGAGCTTTGATAACTTAATCGCTTCATTATTGAGCGGGCGAACGTATTATTTCTGTAAAGTAACATATTCTCAGTGGGCGGGAAGGGATTGAAAACCTATATTGCATTAGTGAATAGTGCCGATCGAGTTTCAGCTCTTTTCTTGTTGGGTGGTTCCAGTATTCCTCATTTGAATACTATTGAATCACCCTTGGGATATGTGGCCTGCTTTTAAATTTGTCTATTGACGTCATATCTGTTATATGCAGGCTTTATAACCTTAGATCCCCTTTCAAATTTCCATTTTATTTAGTTCCGCCCATTTTGTTCTCGTTTAGGTCACGCGCATTTGTTTTATTTATTTGTTTTACTTAGGGACCATATGCAGCTTTTCATGGAATGGCACTAACGTGTATCGCATTGAAGTTTCCATGTTGACCGCCATATGAACACATCTACGGATGTTTCAAAATTCTAAATTTTACCAGTTCATTTTCAATGTTGAAATCTGCTTAAGCCGGTGCTAGAGGGCGTGGACGGTAACTTGCACTTACCATTACGGTCCATGAACAGGTTCAATCAAACCGAGCCAGCAACATTTTCAATTTTGCCGTGTTGGGCTTTCTTTGAGGTTTCTAATTTCTCTTTACTATATTCACAATTATTCATGAATAAAATTTTACCGCAATATCAGTAATAACCCAAAAGTCGAAAATTGTGCAATCCGAAAGTTATCGAACTAACAGCATTTGCTTCAGATTGCATGTTTGGAACTATTTGCAAAGGCTGAACATTGAAAAAAGATTTTATAATCAATTTTAGAATATCACAAAACTGTTCAAATTGATATAGATAACAGAAACATAGACACAAGAACACACGCACACCCAACATAATTAGTAAGTACTGTATTTCTGATACTGTTCCATCCTACCTAATTTTATTGACCGAAAAAATACACCAAAATTAGAATTTATGCACTTGGGGGACAGAGACGCGATAGAGGAATGCGTGTAAAGCCACCATTGATGACAAATGGTAGCGGGCACATGGTCTTCAATTGTTATTGTTTTTTAAATCTACCAGTGATCACTGTTGACGGTTGCGTCATTTAATGTTGTATAAACTGAAAAGTTGTAATTATATAACACGAGCAAATATTCCAGTGTAACATCACTTTGATTTAGAGAAGTAACAAAATATGCATACAAAGCTGCGCCACTATTCAACTATAGCAGTTAATTAAACAATACAGAAAATTAAACAATACAGAATGCTTTTGTCAGTGCATACCAAAGAATTTTCTGATGAAAATGCAATCTGAAAATAAATTCAAATTCAGTTTCATTAAGGTGCTAGGTTGAAACTATTTCGAAATCATATGATTACCATTGACCTCCAGGCTGTTGCTCTGTAATAATCTGATTGTGACATATTGTGTTTGGTTTACATAAAACTGTCGAGCCATTAGGAATACTTTTGCTAAAATGTTGCAGGGCCTAAAATAGAGTGAAAGAACATTCAATATGTATGACGCATGGCATCAGAATCAATTCTATAATTTATGTGATACATTAAAAGTTCATAATTCTTTTTTATTTATTTTTTATTATTACAGGGTGTTTCATATTATGTTATATAACATTACTGTAATTAATGTAATAACACCATATTTCTGAAATATATACATTGTATAAGAGTTTTAATTTCGTATATATATTTTCAGTCCATGTAATGTATATAAAAGTAAACGGTTTGCTTAAAAGTACAGTTAAGTAAAGTATATTCGTACCGTGGTTTCATTTGGATCTGAAATTAAATATAAAATATAATTAAGTGCTTACCTTGTAAAAGTTAAGTAATAGTTTATGTATAGCGATGAAGCTATCATGTTAACATAGCATGGTCTGGGGCGACATAAAGGGTCTTTCCTGAGGGAGTACAGAAATGTCACAGAAATAAAACTATACATTGTAAGGAGTGGATACGTCTCGCAGCTTACGGATATCAGACATTTCATTAAAGTTATCAAAATTATTAATATACAAAGCATCAAAATTGGAACATAAGGTTTGATAAATCATGAATTAAAGTGAATTTAAACATCAGTAGAGTGATTACAAACACGATTGTATGGGTTCTAACATAACAAAGAAAGAAAGAAAGAAGGAAAGACAGAAGAAGAAGAAATCACTTTCGCTTCTTTTTGTGTATAGGTTGTCAATTTTTCATATATTCCTGCTGTTCAATTTTACATCAAACGTTCGCTTTGGTAAAGAACAATAATATTATGAGCATCAACTGTAAGAGTTTAGTAAAAGATAATCTAAACTTGATAAATACATCTTTATTTGTCGACTGAAAGGCTAAACTAGCAGCATGAGTGTCTGTCAAATGTTCTATTGTCAAGATATGAAATACTAAAAGGGGAATTTGTTATAAAAACATATGTCTCCCTAGTATGTACTCAAAAGATCAAGCAGCAGCATGCGAATACCACCAGCGGTTTGACCTGTGAAGGCCAGAAACATTTTCTGTTCTATTTGTAGCTCTGATGGTCATTTTACACAGTGAAGCAGAATGTGCAGGCGATGTGCACAACAAGGGTTGGTACTGATCTCTCCTGTGAATATCCCTCGAATTCCTCCCGTGGTTTCAAGTGTGAAAGGCAGACAAGATTTTTCTATTTTTAGTTCTGGGTACCATTTTGTATATCGAAGCAGAAGGTGCTTACGATATACACAACTTGTTACAGACAGGGATATCTAGCTGTTTGGTAACTGTTTAGCGGAAACTCGGCAGAGCCTAATTAACGCCGTACACAGTTAACTTCGAGCTAGATATTCCGATCTGTATCGGCATCCTGTGTAGATCCTTATGATGCAAATCTACTGTTGGTACTGATCATTCCTTTGAAGCTTTTTTTGAATCCGGAAGGCCGTTTAACCTATGAAAGCCGGACAAGGATTTAATATTTTTAACTCTGGTGTCCATTTTTAGCAGTGAACAAGAATGGTTGAAATATATGCAAAACTAGAGTTTATACTAATAACACCTGAGAAGTTTTGTCGAATTACCGCCAGCGGTTTGACCTGTTACATTCGGATAAAGATTTTTTAGTTTATCGCACATTTTGTGCAGTGAAGCAGAACGTGCCAGCAATATTCACAACTAGGTATGGTACTGATCACTCGTGAGAATTTTCTGTGAACAGACAGTTTGACATGTGAAAACTGGAGAATTTTCTTTTTCATAGATCTGGCGACCATTTTGGGCAGCAAAGCGGAACATGCCGGTCATATGCACCTGCAAGAATAGTACTGATTATTCTTGTTAAGTTTCATTCAAATTCTGCCAGCGGTTTGACATGTGAAAGATTTTGCTATGTAGCAATAGCGGATATTTTGTGCATAATATGCCGGTTATATGAATAACTCAAATTGGTGCTGATCGATCGTGTGAAGTTTGGTTGAAATTATTCCATGAGTTTGGCCTGTGAAAGCCAGACAAGCATTATGCGGACGGACGGGAAAACGACAAAAACAACATCTAAAGATGTTTGGTAGACCTAATAAATATTAAAGAAAAATATCAAGATATTATCTATAGTTAGTTAATATTAAAATGTGTTGATGTATTCATTTGTTCGGAGGTTGTATATGTATTTATAGAAAGATCAACCACCTAAAATGTAAGCGGCATATATTAACAAACAAACACAGGTTATTTTCTTCTAGACATGGCACTCCATTATGTATAATGACCATATAACATTTTTTTTCAAATGAAGTAAAACATGTAACTTAATATACTTTGACAATAAAATGATATTTATCTAAATTGAAGGCTTACTTTTATGTTGTACTGTAATATTCGTGCAAATCTCGTCAATATTCACCCTTGAAATAAAAACATCATGAGAACATTACAATATAACATTTATATTGAAGGTTTAGGAAAATCTGAACAACATGAAATAAAATTGGAGTAAAGGGTTATATTGAAACAACATAAACATAGAAAGCCATGCATTATTGCATATGATACAAACAGAATTATGTTAATAGCAAATAAGTAAAAACATTAATTTGTGTCATTACAAGTACAATATAAGATACCCATAATTTGTGCTATGTGTAGTAGCAAATAAGTTACCCTTTATTTGTGCCATTAGTAGTAGTTTGCTGGCATAATTTATAGGGACCACCTAGCGGTGCTTTAACACATGTCTGTAAAATATGCCTTGTCTGATCAGTACCTCCACTTCCAAGCACAATTTTGTTTGATATATTTAAACCGGAACTCATAAAACCAATCAATGGACTGAAAGACATTAAAAATACAAATTTTCAAAAAAGCATTATAAGACTAATTGGTGGGAGAGATAGACTCGAGTCGATTCATGAGAGAAAATAAAACGTGCACCTTCTGCAACACATATTTATTCAGCCTTAGGCAGTATTTAATCTTCAATATGATAAATGTACTGGCAATAAGACGAAATATTGGACAATTCCTTTTAATTAATTTATTAGTAGTGTAAATGTAATAACACATGTAATAGTATTTTGTACAATTTCTTAGTAATCTAGAAAAACATTTATAGGAAATGAAAGATCACGGTTAGCAAATGAAACTGTTAAGAAGAAAATTACCTAAAATTTGCAGCTGCATTAAGCTATATATCTTACTACCAAAACAAAGTTTATCATTATGGCCCTTGACATAATATACTGGGAAAGACAACTGTAAATTAACGCCGCATAATCTTTTCGTCCTATCAAGCACATTTGTCACAATAATATTTTGTCATAATTATAGTGAAAGGGTATATTTTTGTCTGTTGTTAACAGGTTTTATTTAATAGAAATATAAGCCATCTAACATGAGATGTTAACATTCCTTTTCATCTTAATGGTCTTGACATGATGTTATGAAAAATTATCAATGTCACCTTAAAGAAATGGCATTAATATATAATTTAAACACTAACGATCACTTTTACTTAGAAGCCAACATTCGACCGTTTTCTCGGTATTTAGTTAAGAGTTACTTTTTCTGGTTATCATATGCTTCAGAATGAACAAAAATCAATAAATAATGTACATGCACTTTGAAAAAAAAGTACAAAATGTCTCTTACGGATTATTTTCCATCCCAATATACGGTGTATTGATGCAGCATTCGCTATTATCTTCACATTTGACGTCGGTTGGAATTGCGCTGTCTATTTCAAAGTGTTGAATTCCACTAACCGTACTATTCAAATTCCTGACACCTGGCAAAGTCTTGTTCTTGTCTTTTCCTGGTACAGAATACAAATAACCGTATTGAAAAATACCAAATACTTTACTGATTAAGCGGGATCAACATTATATCGTTTTTGTGATTAACAAAAATATTTAAGACTCAGGGAGAGTGAATTTTTTTTTATCCAGCCACTTAAGGTGCTTAACTGCTAAAATGGTTCTATAAATTCCACATGTTACGTGACTGTTACAAGCACTTGCTGACAGCTATTATATTTAGATTTATCAGTATTATTAATTGAAATGTTGAACTTAATAACCTTGAATAAAAATCTTTGCTCGTGTTATTAATGTACCCTTTTTTATTATTTGGGGATCATTCACCGCTTTTCATAGAATGACACATCTTTGTCACATTAAAGGTCACACGATAACACTTCTGCGGATGTTTCTAAATTTCACATTTTCATGTTTAAATACTAATTCTGCTTAAGCTGTTGCTAGGGGGTGTGGACGGTTGTTCGCACTTGACAGTTCTGTCCTAAACAGACTCAATCAAACCGAGCCTGCAACATCTTCGTGGGCTTTCATTTGGGATTCTTATTTTCTCTATTTTATACCTTTATTTCCGAGTAAAAAACGGTCATCAAGCTTCTGCCTTAATTAGTTTATTTAGTATTAACTGGCCTACTCGTTGGCCTCTATAATGTAATGGGTCAGATCCCTCAGTTAATTACACTATTTCTTAAATATTGTCATAACACATTCTGCAGTTTATTCGGTCAAGTACTTTATACAATTGTCTGTTTGCCTAAGTACTAGTAATACAAATGAATATTTTTGTCCATACTTTTTAAAATTCTAAATATCATTTAGAATTATTTGTCGTTTAAAACTTTTAAGATGTAAAATCAAGTAGCAATAATCTTTATTCACCATCATCTTCACAATTTTTCCCTGTGAATCCAGCAGATGTACAAATACACGTGTAAGTTGCTGGCACCTTCCTAAAATCCGCCATACATTTTCCGTTGTGTTGACAAGTGATTCCACGACATGGCGATAAAACTACAAATAAAAGTTTTCGAACATCAATACCATCAATTACATTGCTATAAAAATATTTAAACTTTAATAATCAAATATATTTACCTTCTTTGTCCATATCAGTGACTACTTTTATAGTGTAACATCTACGTTCACCCTTTTTCCTAGACGTACAAAAAAATCATTTTTAGTCTTATGCAAATACACTGCCTATTACTTACACCAATCAAATGCGAACACTTATTACATTGTTGTTTTTACACTTTATAAAATGCAAGTGAAGTTTTAGATTTAATAATCAGAAATATTAAACGACTACAATCAAACTAGTATATAAGAACGATAATAGATTGTTCGGTTTTATGAGAAACTATACTTAAATTATCATCGCTATCGTTACGACAGATATACCATAATAAAATGATTGCGTTCAAAATAATTGAATGACAGAAATGAAATGTTTGTTACCCTGGTAACGATACTTGGAGACAAAGCTGGTGCGGACCGTCTGCTTGTGGTGGAACATACGTGACATCCCCAGTACACACCGTACTGTTCTCTCTCTTTACATTAAATATATGTACACCTTGGACAGGACTTGGACTCCTCTCAGTAAGAGATGGACTAAAAGTTGATGAAAACAACACAATTATACAAATACATGCAATGCAATAAACTATATATTTAAATGCTGTGTTTCAGTAAGGAAAAAAGCAAACATAATTTCCCCCTTTTTAGAATATAAACTTGAATATTACCATACTCCAGTAAATCCAGCAAACATATCTCCAGATGTAAAATGCATGTCGAAGTGACAAGCCTTTTTGATTTCACACATCACAGTAGCTTCAGTTGATAGTGTAGGGGGAAGAAAGTAGGGCTTGGTCTGCGGCAAGAAAAGAAAGAGAAAACGAACAAACAATTATGTGTTTTCTACATTTTCAACCGATATTTTAACTTATTTCAATATTTTTACAGAAACTCTACTCAAAAAATAAACGTGAAAAATATTTACTCATTATAAAAAACAATGTTTGAATTGATTCATTTTTCATCAATGTTTAAATTATGATGTAAAAATGTCTAAAACGCAAATAAAAAATAAAGATTACTGCTTACCTTGTCCTTTTTGTCCACAGCTGTACCTTAAATAGAAACACAATCTTGATTTACCTTTCATGCTTTTTTAAAGAGAGCTGCAGTTGATTTTTCACTTCATGCATATCGCAATATAAAATGTAGAATATCTTTTCTTCTGATAATTGACATCAATTTTGAAGTAAGTAGAAAGTATCATGATTTCAAATACACCGAACCGAAAATAGACGCAAAGTTTATGAAAACGTCCTTCATTTTTGAAAAACGTTCCAGTCATAACATTTTGATGCGTTTAATATCATGTAACCAAAATTTATTGAAATCATCGTGTCGTAAAATCTGACGGGCATTTAAATATGTATAAAAAATGCTGTTAATGCTCTGGTCATCTTTGTCGCCAGATCTGGCACTGACAGAGAAAATCTAGGCATCGTTTTCACGTCAACCACCATTAAACAAAGTATGATAGTTATTGCGGGATTTTGTCCAAGATTTGAACAATACTATTAAGAACAACATAGTTTCATGAGACATAGAGACACATATGACTTGCTTTTTCATACACGATATATTGACAATATGTCAAATTTAAACTTATGGGTATAAAGCATTGACGAATTAAAATGGTGATATTTTTTTATAATTATATTCTAATGACATTTACATAGTATATAGATAATATATCAATAGAATGAAATAAAGTCGTTAATCATCATTCAAATTGTAACTTATCGAATCATATCTTTTTCTCCAACCTTACATGTATTTTGCTAATCTATGAAGGTTTTGAAGATAAATCGTAATTACCTACTTACCTATCACTTTAATCATGACACATATTTCATCTTCAGTTTTGCTTAAAGAAAACAACAATTAAATATCAGAAATGAAGCGGTAAATACAGAGTCAATATGTAGTTATGACTAAAATCAAATTTATAATCGTTCTTAATATGAAAAGCAAACACATAAACAAACAAAGAAGAAAAGCAGTGAAGCAGTAGCTACGAATTACACGAGAGTATCGTATTATTCAAATACTATTTATTTCTTATTCGCAGTGCTCATACCACGATATAAGTTTTACAAAAGTCGGTAAAAGTTCATTTTTTCTATAAATAAAACAATCCATATCTTTTACAGGATAAAGTGTTTAGCCCGCTATGGTGAGTAATCAATACAAATAATGTTTCATGGTAAAAATAGTATTGTTTTCATATTGTGAAGTCGCCTGCGCGTTTGAACAATCAATAATGTAACACAGCTTCACTTTAAGGCAATTCATGGCAGCACTACAGAAGAAAAAATAAAACCTGCACCGGGTTTTTGCGGAAGTTTTCGGTCCCACATTAATCACAAAAAGGCATTGTATTATTAGTTGATTAACTAGATGTGTGGAATTTCTAACCTGTTGAAAGTTGTCTGCAGACAGAATCTGAAGTCTCCCATCGTATTTGGAATAGACTCAACCTCTCCTTGAAATACTATAGAAGAACTTGTGAAGGGTGTAACAGAAGGTTCCATCACATTCAGCCGTGGATCATGATATCCCAGAGATACGCTTGGACTTAAACATAAAACACATAATTGACATAAATGCAATTGAAATGGTATCATAAAGTATAATAAGAAATCGATATACAAAAAATAAAGATGATTCCAAAAATGTTCAGTAGCTATTAAAACCTATAAACTCATTGTTTAATACGAAATAGTATCCATGCAAAACATTTATTAAAAGATATCAATAAAAGATACTTAAAACTTACAAGCTTCTGTTCTTTGAAATTACTTGGAATGGTATATTGCATGTCTCGTCGATAACGCACTTGACCTCGGACGGCACTGTAAAATCTCCGATGAAACTCTACAAAAATAGAATGAGGTATTTTCTTTTGAAAAATTGTAGACTGCCTGAGAATTTTATTCTTCCAATGCTAAATATGACATATTTAGACTTTGGATCAGATAGTTATTTGATCAATTATCCTCTCTACGTAAATTCACACTGTATCTTCGCACTTTGCACTAGCAAAAATGAAGACAAATAGAACTTGTAAACTGCTTGACAGCCTGCCCGAGAACTATGCGGTGACAGAACTTTGCTCTGGTAAATTCATGTAGCTTAATGCTGTGATTCGAAGTTAAAACAACCAATACAACCAAATCAGATCGTTATTTATCATTAAGAAGGAACGTATCTTCTTATCAATTTATAAAAACCTTCTGTCACCTCATCTTTAACATACATGTAGATACAATTTTATTAAAATATTCATAAAGATTTGAAAGATATTTTTGAACTACAGCGAAAAGGCCGTCAACATAGACCGTTAATATCAAAACAAACATTTTTTATTGGATACTGAATATTCTGTTTCGTTTCAAAGTTTAATTTTGCATTACCTGTGTTTGTTGTCCGGTCATTTGGCTGTTTACTTTCACTACAAAAGTAGTTGATATTCAAAATAAATTTTATAGCACATAAATCATATCCAGTAAAAATGGTGGAAAATTCTTAATGGTAAATTATAAAACTTACATTAATAGTACATGTTACAGCGGTGTTTATCGGCTTCTTAACACCGGTTAGGAGTTTTGATGCGTAGCAATTGAAAACGGATGCCGTATCAAGACGTCAAAACCGAAAATGTAACTGCTGTATACATGTAGTCCCTAACCAGTGTTTATTAGCATTTAAGCACTTGTATTTTTCTTCTTTGTTTATAGTTACATAATAAATGATTAATTATATATCATTTCAAAGATAAACCATGCATTATTATACATAGGATGATCCAGAATTACCCAGGATTGTTTATAATTTTGACATTTTCTTCATTAAATCTTTACCTGCGTAAACATTGAGGTTTCAAAAGTTCATTGCAAAAAAGCTAGTATAATTTAATGGCATTTATACCGGATCAGGCCGGCTTAGATATGTATGGTAACGCCACAGCTCAAAAACGCGACGTATGTTGAAATTTTATAATACATCAAAGTGCCTGATCCAATATGTATCGTGTCCAAACTTTGCCGATGTATGGCGTAAAACCGCAAAATATCATGTTTAATTTAATAATGAATTATTGTGTCAATAGTTTGTGGTTGCAATGTTTATTTATCCGAAACAGTCGTCATTAAGACGTCCGGAAAAGGCACTTTCACAATCGTTTGTCAAAATATCGGGAAGTCTCCCTCAGAAACATAATATATGACATTAAAACTTAACACAAATATCTTGTTAGTCAAACACAAGTTATCGAGTGGTACAGACTTTTTACCGACAGTTGTACTATTAAAGTTAATACATATCGTTAGTCTGATAGAATAATTCAATAACCTTACAGTTCTCGCTGTGTCGCTTTAGATAGAAAAATACATGATGAATTGATTATATCTGAGATTGTTTGAAGTGTCAACTTTATTTATACAAAACTTATTCTTATAATGATTGAAATTAAAGGAAAAGACAACGTAAAAATGAAAATTAATATCAGAAAAAGTATACTACAAACAGTAAATATACACATTTTCTGCTTTCAGAAATGATATTAAAAGCTTGATATTAATATTTTAATCGCTAAATCACCGATTTCTACAAGTCAGTAGCGGGGCCTTGTTTGTGTATTAGCCGTATAAAAACAGGTGTGCGTGATTTTATTAACCCACATATTTAGATTTACAACAAATGAATGTCGAATCGTGGCTAAAGATAAAATTATTATCAAGTAATGACCAGACAAATTAATTTAAACAGGATGTGAAGGAAAGAAGAATTTTCGGTTGAAAATGATTTACAATATCCGAAAAAATAAAGAAACAAATATAAAGTCAACGGCCTACTTGAGCACCGGTCATACAAATTCAGACCGGGTGATGCCAGATACTCCAAACAATGTTACGTTCATCGCATTTTAATGTAATTACACACTTTTGCACAGATTTTATTTATACATGTGTTATTATTTAAAAAAATCTCAAAATCAATGCATGCAGATAACAAATAAATGCAACAACGAATAATGGGTATGTTAATGATTGAACGACGATAATAATTCAACTAAAATAGTTTTCTAAATAGCAATTTCGTTCTTTCTTCGGAAACGATTTGGTGCTATTTCATAATGATCTATAAGAAATTTAAATCCTTATTAGGAGTTTATAACTCCTTCATAGGAGGAACAAAGAATATTAAGCAGTCATTGCCTAGATCATGTAACCAGGGATCATTGGCAAGCTTGATCACTGGGCCAATATTAATAAATTTCAAGGCGTATTTTATTAATGATTTAAAGCATTTCAGTTCAATACGAAGTTTACATACATTAAGTGATGATTTTATATAAAGAAAAACTTGAATTGAAGATACTGGTTATTATAAAGTTAAAGTAACAAGCATCCATTATCGGGGGAAATTTCAACTTGACAAAGCATCCATAAAATTTTCGAAACGTGCGATAATTTCAATCAGTAGCTAAATATTCTTTTTACTTTCGGAGAAAAAAATTGTCAACTCATATTTGTAAAAATATTTTAATTTATGCACATATGTGAATAGATACGTAATAAAAAAAATAAGTTGTTCATCAAGATATATTTCTGTTATACCAGCGAACGCTTAAATACTTAAATGGGAGTCATAACTCATAATCTCAGTCTCGTCTGTCTCGCAAGAATTAAAATCGTCAAAATGGCGGCGCCCATGAACTTCTTTCTAAAGTTATATATATTGTCTTAAAACACGAATTTCTTTGATATACGGTTCATGGTACCTCTTTATAAGGCAGGTAAGATATCAATTGTTTCCGTCCCTATTCCGGATTAATTTGCTTTCTCGCCTTACAATAATTACTGGCACAGTTAACGAAAACTACAATATCTTATTTTTATCTAACATCTAGTTTTATCATGCACCTTTTTTGATTGAATTAAATGATATAAAGAAATGAGACATATTTCATGCTTTCAACGTAAAATTGCATTAAGATTTTTCATTTTCCCTACAACTAAACAATAGCTCAATAGTCATAGCTTAATGTTGTACACTTACGATGAGCCACATCCGGCTTTTTTTCAACAAAAAGATTCCTTATGGTATAAGAACATAATTATTCACCAAACGGGTAAAAAGGCATTTGACATATAATGCCTACAGCAGCAATTACTTTGAAAACATTTTGGTATGTTTTTAACGTCACTCCTTATGACGTTGAGACACCCTTTTGAATGGGCCGTAAGTGCATTTCTATGTTTGCTAAGATATGCATGTGGTGGTCATTATAGGTTTAATTGTTATAACGTTTTCTTCTTTGCAAAGATGATATATTACGTAACAATATAGTTTTGTTATATGAACTTTTAATCAGCAGACATTTTCACAAAAAATCTTACGACAAGTTATTGTGAAAATGTCTGCAGTATTATTTCATTGATGGCTTAATCTTGAGTGTATCAGGATCATTTATTTTACTATAATGTCCGAAAAATTAATATCAATCTCCATTCTAACATGTTGATAAAAAAAACAGAATTGGTAAACATATGTTGAACTTCATTGAGCGTAAAAGAAGTTATTTTCCTGACAACATTTGACGTGTTAGCATCCCCTTTTAAGCTGTTCATATATCGTGTAATAATCCACTTGTTTTTCCTATCTGTTTGATAGAGGAAGGTTTGAAGACCGTAAGAATATAAAGTTAACCTGAATATGATAGTGCATAAACTAAAGTTTATGGTAAATAAGTAAAATATAAACACAGGTGACTACGATAATCAGAAAAGAATGAAAGTGTGACCTTCATTGCATTCTGGCCCGGAAAATCCTTTCGAACAGAAGCAAACGGGATTGTCCATGTCATGTCCATCACAAAAGCCTCCATTTCTACATTCGAGCGTCTGACATCCTTTCTTAACTATCAAACAGATACGTTTATGTTACAATCTTGTCTATTCATAATGTTATGATGCCATGAGAATGTGATTGAATGTGAATTGAAATTCCCCATTCAGAAATATTGAGCAAAACATGTCGCTTAAACCATGTACAAAGTTTTTAGAGAAAAACTGGTTAAATATATATCTTTATATTTGATTGATTTATTTTACATTAGAAATTAAACCTTTTTGATACATACAACATGATCATACCCTACTGTTAACAGCTTTTTAAGTACATTACTTATTTCAGATAAAAATAAACAAACTAATCCCTACCGATAGTCGTTTGGTCTTTTACTCTTATGATGAAACAACGTTGCTCACCATCGACTGAAATTCTGAGATGTAAATATACATATCTTATTAAGAGAAAATGAAACGAATAGAAGATATCCAATGCAATGTTGATTTTGCATCGTTCAACAATTGCAAGTTGAAAAATAAATCAATTGTATTTTGTATTGGTATTAAAGAAGGATACATCTGAATGTATGTGTCAAATTTATTGTGTTTAAATAATCATACATGAATTCGTTTCCTTCGATGAGGTCATACTGTTTGAAAAAGTATAAAAACTGTTCTTTACGACATTACCCCTTTAGACCGACTGACAGACAGATTCTTCTAGTAGCGTTTTTGTCCGCAATATTGTTGACTACAGATACATCAACTGTACAGTTACCATTAGTAGAATCGCCAATATTACACGTATCACAAGATGAGAAGAGAAAATAATTCACAAACCCAGCAGGTGGATCTACTTTAAACGTCACACTGAAATTAATATTGATTGTCATTGAAACAAGTCTTATAACTGTTATAATGATACAACTTAACATTTATCATACGATTATATAACTCATATATATTAATCATATCAAACCGAAACTAGATATAATCAAGAAGAAATAGTACTGAGTATATGTTCAAAAAGATTTTTTTTGTTTTTTTGTTTTGGGTTTTACGTCACATTGACACAGTATAGGTCATATCGCGACGTTCCAGCTTTACTGGTGGAGGAAGACCTCAGGTTCCCCTTCCGTACATTATTTCAGGCACGAACGGGCACCTGAGTATAACCACCGACGTTCCGTAAGCTAGCTGGATAGCTTCCTCACATGAAAGAATCCAAAGTCCCTGTCGGGATTCGAACCCACAGCGGTGAGGGGCAAGTGGTTTGAAGTCAACGACCTTAACCACTCGGCCACGGACGCCCCTACAAAAGAGATCATTTAAAGAACGTCAATTTATGTTAAACAGATAAAAACAAGATTTTTATATGAGGTACCATTCGTTTTCATTTTCTGTGCCAGGAGTGACATGATAAAGAACATGACATGGCCCGCCCGCAAGACATTCTACCTCAGCATCCGTGGGCAAACTTGGATCAACAAAATGAGGTCGATCCTAATAAAGATAAGTCGATCTTGAATATCAAATGTCACGCATAATTTATTCAACAACAAAAATTCAGTAAGAAAAAATTACTGCGGTAAAAGATGTTGTGTATTAAAAGGCAAGATTTGAAAGCACGTAGCAAATAAGTGTAAGGTACAATTGTCTGGTCAAAGTAACAATTGAATGTAAACTGCTATTTGCAAACCTTTTATTTAAAATCAATCAAATGCAGTGTTTTGTAATGGTTTAAATTTCAAAACCATACCTTAAATGTGTAGATTGTGATAACGTCTGAAAAGAAATGTTCAAAGATTTAAAATCACTAATGACTCTATTAAGCAGTTATCATCGTTATGCTATAGATTCGGATTATTAAGTATGGTGACAGGTTGCGACCTTAAGAAACCCGCGGACATATTTGTCGTTTTATCATAGCATGTCGCGGGCTCTAGTGTCCGCAAGTGTCTAAGGTTTGACTCTACATTTATCCTTCGTTTGTCAATAAAAAGTCGAGGGACTGAATTAATCCCTGATATTTTCTACAAGTGTTGTAGAAATTCTGGTAAAATCATAGGTCGTGACGTTTTGATCATAAACAGAGTCTTATTAAATGATAGCAATCTCAATTAAAAAGCCGAGGCTTAACGATCAAACGCAAAATATTAAAAAGGTATGCATTAAAACATATTTTCGCACATTATAATGGCCAAAATCGGGCAATCGGCTACCTAATGCAGGCATGTGATTGCGTGGCTCAGGCTACTTTTAATACAGAAAATATCGCGGTTTCCTTAACCTTAATTTTTTTATTACAAAAGTGAAACAGAAAAAAGACATTTCATTTAATTTCAATATAAAATCTCGCGGATTTGAAAGTTGCATGCGACATTTTGTAAATTGACAGTTAAATTTCTCGCGGCTTTAAATGGACGCTTCCGGCCACCATTATTAAGTAATTCATTATGATCTTCAAATATTAAGATATGCAGGTATTCTTTAAAGAGGTACTCGTATTTCAAAGTTTACGTTGAACATGTTGTTGTCTATAAAAGGAGTCTAATTCGCTTATCATACAATTGTTTCAAATTATTGTATAATTATATTACTCACCAGAAACAACATCGACCTCAGTACAAACTTCGTCTTTGTTAACTCTGTCAACATGATAAACTCATTGATATAAGCAAAATATTGCAGTTTATACATTTGGAAATGTAAATGATATACGAATATGTTTTATTAATAAAAAATTCAATTAGAGTGTATCAATTTTAGCTGGTTTATCAAGACCTTCTATTTAATCTATAAATTCAGCTGTTGCAAATCTATAAATTATTTTTCGGTTTCCGTAAACTAGAGGTAGTACCGAAAGTAATGAAAAGCTCCACATTCCATCTTGATATTTATTTGTATAAGTATCTTGAATGCCCACATATAACGTCCACTTCTTTGAGTGTAGTTATCATTAATTCTAACACGACCCGCATTTTTCCCTATTGAACATAGAAGAACCGAAAGTGTGTGTTATTTTGCAATAGAGTCACTGTTTGACGCTCTATATTTAGACATGTGACGTAATCATTATACATGTGACGTGACCACTATAAAATCCGACGCGCTGACAATTAGTACGGAAACAAACCAGGCGAAATTTAGCTTAATAGCAGGTACGGCAGCATTTTTTTGCTTATGTCGTGTTAGAATCGAAATAATATATCCAAATCGGTGATTTTATCGCTGGATAACATCACTGTTTGTCGTTCGGATGCGCATCATTATATCACTCGGGCTACGCCCTCGTGATATAATTCCTCGCATCCGAACTCCAAACAGTGATGTTATTGAGCGATAAAATCACAGTTTGGGATATATTATTTCTTAAACTTAATATATTCGCAACTTACCGGCTTGTCACCGATATATGGAAACAGCAAGAAAACAAAGGCCGTATTAAGAAAGTACCAAATGTATCGAAACCTGATATTATACATAATTACCTATTTTTCATTAACAATGAAGTTTTTTTATTCACATGTTTATGAAAAAAATGGAAGTCTGTAGTTAAATTTGAACTAAACGTATGTGTGACCAAAACTTGAATAGATTCATAAATCTTTTAAATATATTACTACATAGAAACTTTTTGGATACACGAATATTAAAAAAGACTTAAATTAAGTAACAAAAAAACTGGACATGTGTTTAATGGCATCATCTCTGTCATGAATTACCATCAGGAAATTGTTTGGTTTGTATTTTGTGGTCGCGTGCGTGTGTGTGTATGTTCGTGCGTGCGTGCGTGCGTATGTGTGTGTGTGTGAGTGTGTGTGAGTGTGTGGGACAAGAGGAAAAGTTGTTATAAATAAATAAGTGTTTAAACAGTAGTCGCTTGAAGCCTAATTTCAACCTTTTGATGTTACACTTGTGTACCAATATAATTTTAACCTTTTGTCTTTGTAAAGAGTTATTATCTGAAAACTGTCTTTTTTTATACAAAATTGGTGATAAAAATGGAAATCGAAATGATGACCAATAGATAATAAAAAACATTATGGTTTAAAGCTGTTTTTCACCTACCTAGTTTTTGGTTTATACAGAATTTATTTTAGTTCGATTGTGTAGGAAGCTATAAGCTTATAGACACACTTTCGAATCCGTTCCTGGAACCAACCAGTACTGAGCAATGAGTGTAAAGTTTCTTGCTCAAGGAAACAACGACTTGCCCCTGACAGGATTTGAACCAATGCGGCTAGCGATCATGAGATTACTAGACTGGCGCGTTTACCACTCGGCCATGCCGAAACCTAGTTTTAATGTATTGCTGTTAGAAGAATTATTTTCTGGACAGCATTTTTTTTTTGGAAATAAAAATGCAAATGAGCAAAAGCTTGTTAAAAATTAATAATCTGAAATAAGTTTGTTGGCTTAATTTCTACAAACACATGTTTCATTTTTTGTCATTTTTAGAAAATCGCATTTGACATTTTGAACTGCAATAACATTGTAATGATAGATTTCGTAAAGACAAAATGTTCTGTACATTTTAGAAGCTGTACGATATACACTAAATTTCATTTCTTTAAATTAATTTATAAAGTTAAAATCTCAAATAATTTATTTCTGTTTTTAGATCAAAATAAGAAAACACATACAAAGTCGACTTAAATTTTAAAAACTGGGATTTTTACATCGTTTTTCGTCTTATTGAGCTCTTAAGAGTGGACATACTTAACTAGTTTTAGAACAAACAGATATGTTTTATTTTTCTATTCAAACCCTTTACTCGCTTATTTACATGCTCATATAACTTCTTTTCCAGTAAGAGATTCTGATTTTTGACCTCGTGATACAGGGCACATCCGTAATGGCTTCATTTTTATCATAAATAAAATTTAGAATGATAATTAGAGTGTATTACCTCACTGTTACATACATATAATGCACATGTAAATAGTAACTGCTTTGGAGAGAAATTTATGTTAATACTATATTTTGGGATGATTACCATTTTTGACAGCCTCGATTTATTGACATATTGTTAAAATAAAAATTAAATTCAAATCAAGGAAAAGAAAACCGAATGCTTATTAAGCAACCACAATTATTGTTTCTGTATAGCTTCTTATTTTTAAGTTTGTTTACACTTTTTCAAACGGCACTCATTGGTTATATAGAAAAAAAAGCCTTTTGATTTCTATTTGCATTTTATCATCAGATAAGAAATAATTATTACATATTCTTCTATATAAGACAAAGGGAAAAAACACTGTTTACGTTTAGCTGCAATTTCAACAAATAGTTTCAGATTCAACGCTGTTAAATTAAGCATGAAAAGCATCTACTTGGTGTACACTCATAACCCTTATTGAAACATTATTACAACATATGTTAGCCATTTCGAGAGACGTAAAGTAATATTTAGTTCAAGTTTTGATGTGCGTTAAACCCATTTTTAGTCATATTGTTTACTTGTTTGATTAGAATGTGAATTTCCAGTTGATATTTCAATTATAGTTTACTTTAATGAAACAGTACAACATTAAGAATAATTAGAACTAAAACTGTGTTTAAGGCAAGTACGTGAATCTGTCAAGCAAATAATTACAATAGGACAGTTATGCATTAGTATTCAAAAGAGACATTTTGTGGTGATTTTATTATTTTGTTTGGTCATAAGTTGTTTAGAACTCTGGCTCGCCAGGTGTCTAATATTGTTTCGTATAAAAGACGTATACGTGAAAAGATATTTCGTATAAGTGGTTGATAAATGAAGTGTGTTTATTTTGGGTGTAAATAATAATCAGAGCTTGTTATTTAAATGTATATATAGATTAGAGATAGAAAAAGATAAAATACCTAAAAAAGTAGTGTTAACTAAACAATTACATATTAGTTTTTCTAACTGAAAATATTTCAATTTTATGTCAGGCGGTGCTGTCCAGCCCCCATATCTTGGAAAATGGTTCTAGAATTTATTACTAAATTTTTCCTTAGATTAAATAACATCAAGGCAGTCATTTCTCCTGACAATTTGGGGGCTCGTCCGGGACATTCTCTTTAAGTTGGAATCTTTCCTGGCAAAATTTTGTTTGTTAAACTTTGATAAAAGTTTTGTTTAACCTTAAATCATTTTCAATCTGTTGGTAAAATAGAGCAGTGTAAAAGCTGTTAGGCGAAAATCGATAAATTTGCGTTGTAGTGTTATACAAGTAAACTGTCTGTACAATAGAGTTTAAATAGAGGTTTATATGTAGAGAAGCGGTGACGGACTGTGTTTAAAGTTTATGTAAACTGAAGAATTATTTGCACTTTAGCAGGAGAGTACCCTTTGTTGAATACTGTTAATACGGTGATTGAATTAAGGTTTTAAGGAGACATTTGTTGTGATAGTTTGAATCATTGTGTTAATAAGTTTATATCAATGATAAAGATATAGCTTATAATTTGTTGAAGGTAGGCATCAGTAATTGATAAAAGTTTATAACCGGTGTCCAGTGGGTGATTATTCATAAAAGTGAATAGTTTTTTTTACCATCCGTGTTGGTTGTTGTCATAAAATTTACATTGTTGTTAAACACTACAAGAAGATTATTATCGGTGCCCTGGTTGTTACTGATAATACAAGTTCATTGCCGGTGCCCGGTAGGTGGCATTGTTATATAGAGATTAGATTTTGGTAAGCACTTGTCGGTGCTACAGAGGTACATCATTTTGTTGAGTAATACGTATTTACTTAACGTTTGTTCGTAGAAGTTGATTATTTTGTCGCATAATTGTCCATTATTAAGCAATTATGGATTATGAGAAATGGGTATCATTGGGCGAGAGGCTTGGGTTGAAGGACAGGGATTTACGTGATTTTGTTCAAAAGAAAGAATCAGAATATCTTAAAGAGAAGAAAGAAATATGAAGAAGATAGACGGCGATTTGAGGCCGAACTTAAAGCAAAAGAAGCTGAACGTGAAGTCGAACGTCTAGAAAAAGAAGCTGAACGTGAGGAAGAGCGACGGCGTTTTGAGGCCGAGCGTCTAGAAAAAGAAGCCGAACGTGAAGAAAAGAAACGTTTTTTTTAATGCTGAAGTAGAGATGAAAATGAAAGAGCAAGAAATAGAATTGATGAAGTTAAAAATCGAGGTAGGGTATCGCATTTATACCCCACCTAGCACCGGTTTCAGGCCAAGATTGCCAAAATTTGAAGAGTCAAAAGAGCGTTTTGAAAGATTCTCCATTAGTCAAGGATGGAAAAAAGATACATGGGCAATAAGCTTAAGTTCGTTATTAACGGGGAAAACTAGTATCCCCCCCCCGAGTAAGCATCAGACTATCAAGAATTAAAAACAGCAGTTTTGAAACGATACCAATTAACAGAAGACGGTTTCAGAACTAAATTTAGAAAGGTTAAGCCGGAACAAGGGGAACATGTTAACCAATTTATGGCTCGCTTAGAAAGCTACTTCAGCAGATGGACAGAAATGGCCGATGCTGCGGATACAGTAGATTGATTAAAAGACCTTATTATTAGAGAGCAATTTGTCAAAGTTTGTTCAACAGAGCTAGCTCTTTTCTTAAGGAACGAAAGCCAAAGGATCGTAGAGAAGTCATCTCTTTGGCTGAACAATACTTAGAGGCTCATGGCGGTACGATTACAAATAGCAAAAGCTCAAAAGTTGCCAGTTTTTCAAATAAATCACCAATACGTCTTAATCAAGGTAATTTATTGAAACCAATACAGTACTATCACAGAGAAAATAGAAAAGTTACATGCTTCATATGTAATAGAGAGGTTCATGTGGCCAGAGATTGTCGAAATCAGACTAAAACAGATATGGGGCTGCTGCAATGTCATATGGAGAGCAAAATAGAAATTACTTTAAAACAAATCGGGTTTCTTCACCAAGGAACTGGCGTTGTAGGCCTAGAGAAAATAGATGTGATGGTAGATCAGATGATAAGAAAGTATCGGGGTTTTGTATGTCAATTTATCCAACAAGTTCTTATGATGGTTGTATTGAAGAGGGGAAACTTAAATTAGCCAATGGCAATTCTGTGCCTGTCATTACAAGTAGCTGTACAATTGAATCATTATAAGTTGAACGTCAATTGGATCTGAAACTAGGATATGTTTGTAATCAAGAGGTGAAAGTTCGAAGAGACACTGGTTGCGAGTTAGCAATAGTTAGTTAGCAGAAAGAAGTTAGTGGAAGAAGATCAAATGCTGAATAAAAATTGTGTCATGAAAGCAATAGATGGTCGGGACAGGTTGGTACCCATGGCAAAAATAGACATTGATACACCTTATTATAAGGGTGAAATAGAAGCTATGGTTTTAGAGTCAGCAATTTGTGACTTAGTCTTGGGCAATATTCAGGGTGTACTTGATAAGCCAAATGAGAAGTGGGTAAGCCGGGAAGTAACAAACATAGCTGCTGTTGTTACTAGAGCACAAGCAGATAAAGAGAAGAAAGCAATGAAAACTCCTTTAGTTCCAAAGGTCGAAGATAACGAAATGTCGGTAGATGTTCTTAAGAAAGAACAATAAAATGACAATACGTTACAGCGTTTGTGGCAGTATGCTAGGGAAAATAAGATCATGAAAACAAAAAGTGGTAACAAATTTAGATATGAAGTAGAAAAAGATGTGTTGTATGGAATATTTGAGACGATGAAAGGTGATTTGAAGTCTGAAACAAGACAAATAGTTGTTCCTAGTATATATCACAAAAGAGTTATGTCATTAGCTCATGAATCTATAGTGGGTAGGCATTTGTCTGTACGTAAGACTTTAGACAGAATACAGTCTAGTTTTAACTGGCTAGGGATTTCTAGTGATATAGATAGATTTGTCATTCCTGTGACATTTGTCAGAAGACGGTACCCAGGGGTAGACTTCAGAAAACTCCTTTAGATGAAATGCCTATTATTGACACTCCGTTCCAGAGAATTGCGGTTGATTTGGTAGGGCCAATAACGCCTGTATCGAAAAAAGGGAAATAGGTACATATTAACTGTAGTTGATTATGCTACACGTTACCCAGAAGCTGTTGCTTTACCAAGAATTGAGATTGAAAATATAGCCGACGCATTGTTAGATATTTTTGCAAGAGTAGGTTTTCCATCGGAAATACTTAATGATAGGGGTAGTCAGTTCACGACACAACTTATGGAAGAAGTTTGTAGACTTGTTTCACTGAAACAGTTGTTTACTACCCCTTACAATCCAAAATGTAGTGGTCTTTGTGAGAGGATGAATGGTATTTTAAAAAGAATGTTAAAGAAAATGTGCCAAGAAAGACCTAAGGATTATGACAGATATTTGTCTGCGGTTCTCTTTGCATACAGAGAAGTCCCTCAGTCAAGTACAGGGTTCTCACCATTTGAACTTCTATATGGCAGAATTTTAGAGGTCCCATGCAAACACTAAAAGAATTATGGACAGAGACAGAAGTACCAGAGACACGTAATACGTATGAGTAAATACGTATTAGATTTTAGAAATAGGTTAGAGCAAACTTGCAAGATTGCTAGAGAGAATCTCAGCAAACTCACAAGAAGAGTATAAACATCATTATGATAAGAAAACACGACCAAGATGTGGAAGTGGTTTCGTATATTGGAAGTAATAATACAAAGGCGTTGTGTAGGTTCGATCTGTATTGACTCTCGATTCAATGTGTACAAAATCTCAACAGTAATATATAAACAATAACAACATACGTCAGAAGTGACGTTGACGTCAAATAGCGCGGTAAGACGTAACGTAGATAATAGCGTACATATATGTAGTTTTCTTGCGGACATACTGGGGGCCGCGAAATGTTTAACACTTATTACACAAAGATAAAGAATATTTAAGCAGTATGTTCAGAAGTAACTTATCAGCATACAATAACAAAGAGTAATTTAAATAAGTAAGTATATTCTCTATGCAGTTCATTTGGCAAAACTATTATGGTTACTTTCGTTATTAAGCTTTAAAATAAAGTCTTGAAGAGTCACTTTGTATGAATATAATTTCATAGTTATAGTTCTGTAACTTCCAAAGGAAAAAGTTTCACTATCAGTCTACGAGGGCTGTTCGATATGTATTGTCATTAAGGTTATATTTCTATGAAAACGAAAAAAAACCTACTTATTTTTGGTGCATCCCTTCAAAGTATTCCCCCTGCACTTAAATGCAAATTTTCAGTCTTTTCAGCCACATCTGAAACGCCCGGATGTAGTCATTTGTGGGTTTACTGATGAGGCACTGGTATATGGCAGAACCAACTGAAGGTCTCTTGGAATATTTTCTACCAGCGAGCATTTTCTTGAGTCTTGGGAACAGGAAGAAATCACAGGGGGACAAATCTGGCGAGTACGGGGGATGCTGGAGTACAGTCACATGTTTTCCCCCAAAAAAGTCACTATAGCAGCCTTGTTGGCAGGGGCGTTGTCATGGAGCAATTTAATGTGTCTCATGCCACTTTTCGGCCGAATTTTCCCGAAGTATTTGTCAAGCTTTTTCAAGACAACCTCTTCCCTTTGGTACAGGTACCTGTATGGCTGGACCACGTGCTGTAAAGAAAATGGCGTACAACATCTTACGCACACTCATTGTTCGTTTGGCAATACAAGGCCTCTTTGCAGCTTTTGTAGCCCAGACTTTGTTACTCATTTTCCTGTGTGGCTCGTAGAAGTATATCCAGGTCTCATCACCTGTAACCGAGTCAGAAAAATTGTTTTTCTCCATCTTTTGTGCCATTTTCAGTATTTTACGAGCACATTGGACACGTGACCTCTTTTGTTCAACAGTCAGGAGATGAGGAATCCAGCGTGCTGTAATCTTCCTAACTTTTAGCTGCTTTTTAAGAATTAAGTGAACTGTTGATGATGAAACCCCTGTTAGTTTCGCTAGCTCACGCACTGTATACCGCGCGTCGTCAAGCAACAGTTCTTGAATTCTGGCTTCAGCAAGTTTGGTGCTGATGCTGACTTTTCTTCCTCTTTTTGTGTCATTTTCAATGGACACTCTGCCTGAAGCAAACTTCTTAGCCCATCTACAAGACATCCGACCTTTACCATAAATGCCCACAACCTCCTTGAAAATTTCAGCGGCAGACTTTCTTAATACAGCGCGACCTTTGATGTACCCCCGGATTTCAGTGCAATTCGCAATGCTTGCGCCCACCATTTTTCACACAGTGGTCAATGAGTGGATGCGTTTCAATCGATGTATTTGTGATAATCCGCTGTAGCTCATGTACAATTTGGTATTGATTTTTTCGTTATGCTTTGCTCTATTGGTCAGAACACAAATTATCCACGTGTGAAGCGCTCAAATCGTATCGTATGTCGTATCGTATCAAACGAGAATTACGTGCAAAGACAATACATATCGAACAGCCCTCGTATTGGTAACACCACTGTCTGTTCTAATTTTCGCCGACCGAACGAGTCCATCTCTTCCGTGCACGAGTTGTTCAACGACCGCCAATTTCCATTGTGCACGTGGTACGTCAACGTGAACTTGTACTACGTCACCAACTGATATGGATTGTTTACTTTTCCCGGAAGTACGATGTTGTTCACTAAGAGCAATTAGGTATTCATGTCTCCATCTCTTACGGAAGTCTTCTATGATTTTAAGCTGAACTCTGGCACGTTGTGTAATGTTCTGTTGTTTCCCAAGGCTCAAACTTAGGTCCGTTTCATCAACAGTGTCAGGATACGGTAATGTAGTAATGCGTCTACCATATAAAAGATGGGCTGGTGTTGATGGTTCTTGTTCTGGGCGATTGCCGGATGAGACATATGTTAACGGACGGTCATTCATAACGGCTTCTATCTCGGTTATGACAGTCTGCAAAGAGTCGTATGTAACGTAGGTACGGCCCAGGGTTTTTATTGAGTGCTGTCTTTGTGAGTCCAATCAGCCTTGCCCACCATCCTCCATACCAAGGTGCACGCTTAGGAATAAATTTCCATGTGGTACCATGACTGGTAAGTGTGTCATGTACATGTCGGGACTCGAACAAACGTGTTATATGGTTGGATGCAGCCATAAATATGGAAGAATTATCAGAGATCATGACATGTGGTAAAGAGTTTTGGCTGCTGAATCTAAATGCTTGTAGAAAGGAGTCTTCTGTCAAATCTGGCACGAGTCCTAAGTGCACCGCTCGTGTGGAAGCACACGTAAATAAACAAATATATGCTTTTGATTCCATTCCGTCTTTAGTTCTGACATAAAGTGCGCCTGTAAAGTCGACACCTGTCACTGTAAATGGCACTGTATCTTCTACTCGATATCTGGGTAACGGAGGAGGATCCGGGGGTGAGTATGCTTGGCCAACTACCTTCCGGCAAGTGACACATTTGCGAAGAATTGTCTTTACACATTGACGAATAGCGGGTATCAGTCGTATATAAGTAATTGTAGAATTTACTCCAGCATGCAGTATTTTTTGATGGTAATGAAGTACAATCAAACGGGTCAATTTATGTTTTGATGGTAACAGGTAAGGGAATTTCGAACTCTCGACCAGTGGGGCATTGTGAATTCGACCTCCGCAACGGATTCCGACATCGTTATCTAAAAATAGTCGAAGTTGTTTGACAAGCTGTGAGCGGGATTTACTTGATCTCATGTTGCTGATCTCTGCTGGATAAGTACTGGACTGACAGTCTATTAGCCATAATTTCTCAGCTTGAAGTTATTCATTGGGGGACAGGGGTTCGAGTCTCTTTTTAGAACTTTTGCTGTTTTGTATGAATCTCATCACATATGCAGTAACACGTAATAGTTTCTGGTATGAACCGAATCTGTCAATATCAATAACTCTATGAATGCCTTGCTCGCTAGTTGTGGTAACAGTACTGGTAGTGCTAGGGTCTGAACCGGAAGTGTTGGTTTCATGACCGGAAGTGTCATATAAGGAAGCTGTGAGCACTGTTGCATCTTTTGGATTCCATGTAGGCCATTTTGATTGATTTTTTATCCAGGATGGTCCATATTGCCAAAGGATGTTATTGGGAAACTGGGTCGCTGTTATACCACGGGTAAGTAAATCTGCAGGGTTATAGTTGGTTGGACAGTATTTCCATTTTCTGTCCCTGGTCAGTTTTTGTATTTCTTCGACTCTGTTCCTCACGAAGCGGGGTAAAGTTTTAGCTGTTTCTAACCAATGTAAAACAATCTGACTGGCTGACCAAAGATAGAAATTTGTGTGTTTTAATGTCTTCTTTATGTGGCTAAGTAGAGCACCTATTACAGCTGCCATTAATTCAAGTCGAGGTAACGTAAGTTTTTTAAGAGGTGCCACACGATTCTTTGCCATAATAAGTGATGAATTTTGACCATTGGAAAGGTAAGCTGCAGCTCCATATGATGACTGGCTAGCATCTACAAACACGTGTAAGGTAGTATGTGAATGGACGTCTGCTTGTCTAATTTTCTCGTCTGCTCCGGGAAAATAGCAACGTCTGTATTGAGTGGTGGATAGTGTAGTCAAATCTGCAGCAAGATTTTTCCACCTCTTTTGTATATTTGCTGGAAGTGGAGTATCCCAATCAAACTTTTCTTCCCAAATTTGTTGCAATATAATCTTAGCACGTACCGTAACCGGACTAAGTAGACCAAGAGGATCGAATATTTTTGACGTCTGTCGCAAGATTTCTCGTTTCGTTGTAGTATCTGTGACTGGTATATAGGTTTGTTGGAAAGTCAACATATCTGTCTCTGTATTCCATCGCATTCCAAGTATCTTTGTGATTTTATCTCTATCTTGTACGTCGTAGTTTAAGGCTAAATTTCGTAGTTTCTGGCTATTTGAATTCCAAGAGCGTAAGTTAAAGTTTGCAGACGACATAAGCTTTCGTGAATCATGGAAGTAAGCAAGTGCCTGGTTTTCATCTTCAAAGCTTGACAAAACGTTGTCCACATACAAATCTCTTCTTAAAATACTACTGACCCATACATCACTGTTACTTGCTAGATGTTTTAAAATTGTTGCATTAAGAATGAACGGGGAGCATGTAGCACCAAACAAAACTGCTTTAAACCTGTAGGTGATCAAAGTACTGTCGGGATATTTGGGGTCACTTAACCAAAGAAATCTTGTTACATCTTTGTCTTCTTCTGCAAGCTGTATTTGTAGAAAAGCCTTCTCTATGTCGGTAGTAACAGCATATCTGTGTAACCGAAAACGGATAAGAATTTGAGTAAGATCGTTAAGCTCTGGTGGCGTAGACTTCAAACAGTCATTTAAGCTTGGTTGGTCACGTGACTGATGACAACTACAGTCATAGACGTTGCGTATCGGTGTTGTGACTGAGTCTTTCTTGACGCCGTGGTGGGGAATGTAATGTATCTTGTGTTGTGGTGTGATACATTCGTCGACCTTCTCAATAAAACCTCTCTTTTCTTGATCATTGATTATTTCT